CCAGTCTGGCAGAGAAACTTTGAAATCTGTAGACAGAAAAGTCTAAAACCCCTAAAACCTCCACCAGGCGGAGTGTTCAGTCTAGCTGGGTGCCCACTTGTCCTATATGCCAAGTGTATAGTCAAACTTCAGTTCTCAAATATCTCCCATCTCAAACAATTCAGGTCTCAACCAAGTTGCTCATGGAAAAAAATGCCTCAGTTTTCTAACAGACACTTTGGCTCTCAACCTGACAACCCTTTCATGCCGATTACATCAGCATGGCGAAAAGTATCTCTCAGCTACAAAGGAGAGAATACATAAGTGTGGGTCAGTTTACTGCTAAACCTCCTGTTGTTAACATCTCAGTAAATAGTTTCATGTTTTTCTTGCTGGCAAATGGACAATTAGTACAATTTTGAAACATAAAGAGGCCATCAAGAGTGCTGATGTTGCTAAGGGTGTGAAAGTGCTCACAAAACAATGATCATAGGCAACTGAAGAGGCAGGCAATTTGTTGTTGATTTGAATAAACAAAAAGCAGTTAGCCAGTGAAAGCATTTCGGAGGCAATGATATGTGAAAAAGTGAAGATGCTGCTTGTTCATCTCCTGAAAGACCCCCCCTGGAATGAGTGCAGAAAAGAGATTTGTTTAAGGTTATTAAGGGGTGTTTTGATAAATTTAAGAAAAGAAGTGTTTGTTTATTGATTAAACAGTACATTACACATGTAGTGTATATAAGAAAGGTTAAGACAAGGAATCATTTGGGGGTCTGGAACAGTTTGATTCAATTTACATTATTTCTAATGGGAAAAAAATTTTTTTCCCTAATGAATTGCTTCTTGAACAGCCTTCCAGAACAAATGAAGTTTGAGAACCAAGGTGACACTGTATTTTTAATAAATTTGCTTTCTTTGCTTCAATGATGCTATCTGTCACTCATCTGAAATTTTTCTTATGAGACTGACAAGAACCAAGGAGGGGCAGCCCTCCTCCTCTGACTCAGGGAGCTGTCCAGAAACAGTAGATATTTGAATGATGACATCATTTTAAAAAACAAGAGAAAGAAAAACAAATATTTCCTAAAAATTATTTACTGATGTTCTGTAAATGTTCCCACAGTAATACCCATAAATTATAAATACAGTTTTTAATTGTTACAACTAGTTATGGGGGTAAATCATGATTAACTCACAATGCCCAGTAGGACAAATTGACTTCATCCAACAGGGAATTCTCTGGAAGCGTAGAGGGAATATAGTTCTTTCCTTGACCTTTGTTTTTATAGAGCAAGTTTAGAAATAGGTGTTATCTCCATTCATTTTGGAGTTACTGATGAAAATCAGGGTGCCAGTAATCTCTGCATGTTCTCATTTCTGCATATTCTACATTACTTCAGGAAAACTATCATTTTCCAGTTTTCCAATGTTTTGCAGGAACTGGGTAAGAGTGCAGTAATTTCTATTACTTAAAAGTTTTGCGATTTGTATTTAGATGTAACAAAATATCTATGTTAGATATCTATATAAGAAATTAAAATTCCATTGAGGCATGGAGGTTTTTCTCAATCAGCCATCAAAATCTGGACAGATGGGAGGAGGATGGCTTACTGTAAAGGAGACACATCATAAAATTCATAAATGATAAACTTAAATAGAAGAACTAAATAATGTGAAAACTCAGAGTAATTATAGTAAGAATGATTTAACAGCTTTAAATTTTATTTTATAATGTAGAGAGTTTAGAATTGAGACACAGCTATGCAGCTTGTATCTACTTTATTGGTAACTTTGCAGAATAAAGATAATTCTGGCCTTTGAGTCTTGTGGCTGTCTATAATACATAGCTTTTAAGATTTCATGGAATCATGAAAAGAAAGGCTAAAGTCAGTCATATAATCCTTATATTATAAAAATATAATATATAATAAATATAATATATAGACAACACTGTTTCCTTTAATCTACCCTGGAGATATTTTTTTCACATTAGTCTTAAAGAAAACAACTACCTAAGACAAATCCTTTTTAGTTTAATTATACTGAATTCATAAAGTGAAATTAGGAATACCTATTATTTGATATTTGATCTGCAAAGAAAGTAAGGCCACTTTATTCAAGACAAAATCTCCACTTTGGAAAAAATAAATGACACTCTTTAACATTCACATAGTTCATTTTCAGTAAATATACTCCAGTGAATCTTTTTAGGTATGGATTCCCTGTAGGTATGTGTTTAATAATTTAAATCTATTAAATCTATTTTTTTTTTTTTTTTTTAGTTTAGGAAGATATAGAATAAGAACTCATTATTCTCCCCACTGATTAAACAAACCTAATTATTTTAATGCATTCTCATTCAACATCTCTTGTATTATAAGTGTCAAAAGGTATGGCTATAAAATTATAAATGTCTTTTTAATAAGTTATTATTTTTTGTCTTTTATTGATTTTTAGAGAGAGAGGAAGGGAGAGGGACCGAGATAGAAACATCGATGAGAGAGAACATTGATTAGCCACTGCCTGCATGCCCCACACTGGGGATTTGGTCCACAACCTGGGCATGTGCCCTGACCAGGAATCAAACCAGCAGTCTCTTGGTACATGGGTTGATGCTCAACCACTGAGCCACACTGTCTGGGCAATAAGTTATTATTTATTTTAACTGTTATTATTGTGGTAAATATGTTTTTATTTCCCTTTCAAGAAACAGGAGGTTACACATTTGCCCCCAGATATTTGGGAAATTCTATTCTGAATTTTCTTTGAGATATAGTTTATAAGCCATAGAAGTAAATCAGTCTTATATTACCTCATGAAAATATCAGTTATGACATACATAATAGCAGAAAAACCTATAAACCTCCTAGAAAAAATTTAACAAGAAAAGTGTTGATACTACATAAAAAAACTATAAAAATGGCTACTTTACTTGGACACCATCTTAAACAATTTCAAAATACCTTTGATTGATTTAAAAAATCATTTCACCCTCAATAGTCAAAGGTCAACTACCAAGTATTTAAGTGGAAAGTATCATTATGAATTTAAGATCATTATGCTAAGTGAAATAAATCAGGAAGAGAAATACAGAGCCTATATGGTTTAACTTATGTGTGGAATCTAAAAAAACAAACCAAACAATAACACTCCTTTTAGATGGTTACCAGAAGGAGGGGGTGACGGGATGGGTGAAAGGAGAAGGAGAATGTAGTCAATAGTATTGTGATAAGTTTGTATGGTGACATAGAATTAGTGGGATGATCACATTGTAAGGTATAAAAATGATGAATCACTATATTGTATACCTGAAACTAATATAACCAATATAATATTATATACCAACTATACTTAAGGGAAAACATTTTAAATAATTATAAATCATTAATAAATATTTTGAAATTGTCACATATTATTTACTCCTAATTTTACAATACTATTTTCAGTGTCAAGTATTCTTTGTTGAAAGCAACAATAGCATTTTACTTACTTCTATTAACATACTAGTGACTGTCCTTTTATATATCGTTCTAGACACATGTGCATATGGGCAAAGAGATATAAACACAGACATAGACACATATACACACATATGTAACAAAATTATAAATGGGCATATGATACATATTTGTGAATGTTCTTTTTGTTTCTAGATTTCGCCCTCATGAACAATGCTTTCTCAAATAATCTTTGTTTTATTCTTGTATATGAATGACATTATTTCTAGAATATATATGCAGGTGTAAGACATTAGATTAAAGTTTATATACATTTCTAATTTTGGCAGATAATATTAGATTCAAAAGGCTGTTATAATTTATATTTCACCAGTTATAGTAAAAATGCTTTTTTCTCACTTTCCTGTCATCAGCAGATATTATTTCTCATTTTGCTTTTTGGCTTATCTAACAAGTAAAAATCATCAATTTAAATAATATTCTTAATTATTAAGGAAGATAAACATTGTTTCATATATTTACTGGTCACATAGACCTGCTGCTCTTCCATAAACATGTCTTTTCATATTTTTTGCCCATTTGTTTCATTGTGTTAACATGTTTTCACCTAGTTGTAAGAAGTTGTGTGTGCATGTGTGTTTTATCATCAAACCTGTATATGCAAAATATGTTACTGATATTTTCCCAACACATTTCTGTCCTTTCCCTTGGTCTCTGCAATAAAAAGTATGTGGTTATACCCTGGCCTGGTGGCTCAGTTGGTTGCATAGTGACATAGACTTAGTCTGGCATAGAATTTGGTCCTGTATACCAAAAGGTTGTGATTCCCAGTCAGGACACATACCTAGGTTACAGGTTCAGTTCCCCGTCAGGATGCATACAGAAAGCAACTGATCGATGTCTTTCTCTCACATAGATGTTTCTCTCTCTCTTTCTTTCTCTCAAATCAATAAAACATATCCTCAGGTGAGGATTAAAAAAAAAGTATGAAGTTATGCCTAAATTATTAGTCTATTTCTTTTCCATATGCAATAGTCATATTTGCATCTTTTCTACATGCAATAGTTTTTCACATGGTTTTAATATTGGCTCAAATATTTGCATTTATTTCAGGTTTGTTTGTTTGTGTTTTCAATTTTAGGGTGAGATACCTAAAAACAGAATTTGTAAACAGACTTACTATAGAATGAAAGTTAAACATTAAAAACTACTAATTAAAAGGAAAACAACACAAAGATATAATTTAATATGCAAAAAAATTACCACTACTGCTTAGCCAGTGAGGCTCAGTGGATTGAGCATCATCCCATGGACTGAGAGGTCCGGGTTGGATTCCTGGTCAGGGCACATGCTCAGGTTGCAGGCTTACTCCCCAGTAGGGGGCATGCAGGAGGCAGCCAACTGATGTTTCTCTCACACATTGATATTTCTAACTCTCTCTCCCTCCCTCTCTCACTAAAAATAAATAAATAAATAAAAATATATTTTTTAAAAAATACCACTGCTTCGTGTTATCTTTAGTGATCATCTTTCTCACATATTTTCTCATTACAGTGATCAAGTGTAGATATGTCAGAAGGAAATAAGACTCTGGTGACGGACTTTGTTCTCACAGGACTTACAGAGAGACCATGGCTGCAAGTCCTCCTCTTCCTCGTGTTCTTAGTCATCTACCTCACCACCATGGTGGGCAACCTTGGACTGATGGCTCTTATTTGGAAGGATGCCCATCTTCACACGCCCATGTACTTGTTCCTCGGTGGTTTAGCTTTTGCAGATGCTTGCACTTCAACTTCTGTAACTCCCAGGATGCTGGTCAATTTCTTAGACAAGTCTGTAATGATATCCCTAGCTGAGTGCATCACCCAATTTTATTTTTTTGCTTCCAGTGCAACTACAGAATGTTTCCTCCTGGTAGTGATGGCCTATGACCGCTATGTAGCCATATGCAATCCCTTGCTTTATCCAGTGGTGATGTCCAAAAGACTCTGCACTGAGTTGATAGGTATTTCATATGTAATTGGTTTTCTGCATCCTCTGATTCATGTGAGTTTGTTATTAAGATTAACTTTCTGCAGGTCTAACATAATACATTATTTCTACTGTGAAATTTTACAACTGTTCAAAATTTCATGCAATGACCCATCTATTAATGCACTAATGATATTTATTTGTGCAGCTTTTATACAAATATCCACTTTAATGACCATCATAATGTCTTATACTCGTGTGCTCTTTGACATCCTGAAAAAAAAGTCTGAAAAGGGCAAAAGTAAAGCCTTCTCCACATGCAGTGCCCACCTGGTCTCTGTCTCGCTGTACTATGGCACTCTCATCTTCATGTATGTGCGTCCTGCATCTGGCCTAGCTGAAGATCAGGACAAAATGTATTCTCTATTTTACACAATTATAATTCCCCTACTAAATCCGTTTATTTACAGTTTGAGAAATAAAGAGGTTATAGGTGCCTTGAGAAGAGTTGCAAAGAAGTAAATAGTTCCAAAGTAAAATTTCAAAACGTTTCTCTTTTCGCCCTTTGCATCAACAAGTCCCCACGTCTGACAGTTCAGCTATGGCTCTGCCCTTTCACCAGAGGACTAGTGGTCAGGGTGCTCGCTGAGCACCGGGTGAAGGAGCCCAGCTTCACACAATGTTTTCTTGGATGTGGGTCCAATTGAAATTACTACTTCAGTTGAAGTGACTTATAGCTACCATAATTGATTTATTTAAAAATATCATAATTTTTGCCCTAGCCAGTTTGGTTCAGCAATTAGAGCATCGGCAGGCAGACCAAGAGTCCAGGGTTCGGTTCCCGCTAAGGTCACGTACCTCAGTTGCAGTTTGTCCCCGGCCCCGTTTGGGGTCGTGTGGGTGGCAACCAGTTGATGTGTCTCTCTCACATTGATGTTTCTCTCTCTCTCTCTTTCCCCCTCTCTCCCTCCCACTCTATCTGAAGATAAATGCAAATGTGGCCTCAGATGAGGATAATATACATACACACACACACACACACACACACACACACACATGTATGTATGTATGTGTATATATATATATATCATAATTTATTTTTATTTGAATATTTATTTTTGAAAATTTGTTATCTGCAAGGGACTCCTCCCCTAAATTTTATTTATTAATTGACAGTAACTGACACTGGTATATAAGTGTGAGTGGCTTATTTGTCTAGAATTGGACAAGATTATCATAATCTTTTTAAAATGTATTTTGGGGGGATTCTCACTTTTAAAATTTTAGGTTAGCTAGTACTTTTAATATTTTATAGATATTTTAAAAGAATCATTTATAATTTATATTATATCTAACTTTCTTTGCTATTATCTAATTCATTAATTTCTGCTATCTTTACATTTTTCCCATCTGGTTTCTTTTCTTTTAACATTCTTTCTTCTAGTCTTTATATTTAGAGTTGAATTCATTTATTTTTAGTTTTTATTTGTTGTTGATATTGTGGGTATTTACATTTTGTGATATTATGAATAATCTTATGAACTGAATTAATTGTTGAGTGTTTCACATGGTTTTGGCTTTCTGCCTCTCATTGCTCATATGAGATTTCTTTTTTTTGGGGTCCTCACCCGATGATATTTTTCCATTGATTTTTAGATAGAGTGGAAGTGAGGGAGAGAGAAAGAAAGAGAACAAAAAACATCCATGTGAGAGAGAGACATTGATTGGTTGGCTTCTGCACAACCATGATCAGGGCTAGGGATTAAACCTGCAAGCCAGGTATGTGCCCTGATTGGGAATTAAAGCTGCAACCTTTTGGTGTATGGAATGATTCTCCAACTGAACCATCCAACCAAGGCAGTCAATCTCTTTTTTATGTAGCAAAAGAAACAAATTTTAGATAGATTAATAAAATGATAAAGGAATATATATTTCTTAGATACAATTTTCTTAATATTTATTTTACAATTTCTGTTTAAATAAACCACAACACCTTATAGATGTTTTGCACATTGATAATAGTCAATACATTTTTCATTGAAAAAAGTGGCAAAGATGCATATTTTATATGACTATACTATAAATGTGGTTGATAATTTTAAATGATTAAGTCTTTTATTTTATTTATTTATTTTTTAATCCTCACCCGGGGACATTTTTGCATTTATCTTCAGATAGAGCAGGAGGGAGAGAGGGAAGAAGAGAGAGAGAGAAACATCATTGTGAGAGAGGCACATCAAGTGGCTGCCACTCACATGACCCCACCTGGGGCTGGGGACAAACTGAAACCAAGGTACGTGCCCTTAGTGGGAACCAAACCTGGGTCTCTCTGGTCCACAGTCTGATGCTCTAACCGTTGAGCCAAACCGACCATGGTGATTTTTAAGTCTTTTAAACACTCAACTGATTTCTCAGAGTGTATCATTTGTTTTTCATCTACAGTCAAGAGTAGAGAATTATTTCACTTGCATTTTCTATTATATTATCACATCAGTGGGTAATCACTGGGTGAGTAAATGCACAAAAGCTCTTACTCCAATAATTGCCCCTTTCGAAAACTGTTTGAAGCACATGTAAAGGAAGATGCTTATGTAAGTCTTTTAAGAATTCTCCATAAAACCAAACTACTTTTCAAGTTTATTATTCCTGAACAAGTTGTTTTGCAAGAGTTTTACATACAAAAAGATTATTTGTGATGAAATAATAATTTAATGTGTTTTAAAAACAAAAGTGACTATATACATCATCTTCAAGCATTTACAGGTAATTTTAGTCAAGTAGCCTCTCCTCTGATATTAAACTATTTGTCTATATGTCTATATATAATTGTTAATAATTTGAATAATAAGATTTCTGGTTTATATGCATTTTTGTTTATATTCTGATTGATAATATCAATGAAAATTGTTATTAGAAGCACTGTGAATATAAAATATATTTTTTTAGGATTAGAAACCCTCTGAAATTTTTCAGTGTTTCCACTAGTCTTCTAATATTGGTATCTCATTTGAGAGGAACTGATTAAAATAAAACCTTATGTACCTTTCTATCTCCTTTTACTTTTTTCCTTCCTGCATGGTATCCACTTACGCCTTTTAACTTTCTTATTTATATTCTTGTATTTTACTGAAAAATAAAACAAAGATATTTGTCTAAATAAGAAAGCAATCTTTTTCTGTTGTGTTTTCTAGGTAAGTTTGTGTTTGTATCAAAGAATAGTCTGAAACTCTAGGTGCCTCCTATACCCACTGCTCCACTGAGCCTAAAGCAAGTCTGTGCAGCCAGGAGTACTGTTTTTATTACATGAGATTACCATCTTGGTGACAGTTGATTAGATGAGAAGTCACATGATCTAAGACCTTGCAATCTACAGGCCGCCCATGTTTTCTCTATCATTTGTTTCTGTGGATACCATCTGCATGTACATCCATTGCATGCCTAATAACGCATGGGGTCAGGCCATGAGAAAATGGTTTTATATCAATATGAATGCCATGTTCAGTTTAGAATATCTGAGACTGTAATATTAATAATGCTAGCTACTCAAGTAAACTATACTGAATTTCCTGATGGGCCAAAAAAATTCCACATCAGCAGTACTCATAATATAAATCAATAGAACACATCCACATCTCACATACCAAGGGAAAGTATTGCCCATTATAATGTCATTGTGTATGTGTGTGTGTATTTCTTCATTTTTTTACTTTTTATTTCTGTTACAGATGTTTCTCCTTTTCCCCCATTGACACCATCCTCCCACTCCCTCCTCACCCTGTCCCCAGCTTTGTTGTCCATGTCCATTGGTTATGCGGACATGCGTGTAAGTTCTGTGGTTTATCTCTCCCCCACTTACCTCCTCTTCTGGGGATTGTCAGTCTATACCCTACTTCCACATCTCTGGGACTACCCTGTTCTTCAGACTGTTATGTTCATTATATTTCACATATAAGTGAGATCATATGATATTTGTCTTTATCTGCTTGGCTGGTTTCACTTCAAATAATACTTCCAAGGTATCTCCATGTTGTCTCAAAGGATAAGAGATTTTTCTTTTGTATAGCTGCATAGTACTCCATTGTGCATATGTACCATTGCTTTTTTATCCATTCGTCTACTGATGGGCATTTGGGTTGGTTCTAGATATTAGCAGTAAATAGTGCTGCTATGAACATGGGGGTACATATATTCTTTCTGATTGGTGTTTCAGGCTTCTTAGGGTATATTCCTAGAAGTGGGATCACTGGGTCAAATGGCAATTCAATTTTTAATTTTTTGAGGTAACACCATAGTGTTTTCCATAGTGGCTGCACCAGTCTGCATTCCCACCAGCAGTGTACTAGAGTCCCCTTTTCTCCACACCCATGCCAACACCTGTTTTTCGATGATTTGTTGATGATGGCCATTCTGACAGGTATGAGGTGATACCTCATTGTTGTCTTAACTTGCATCTCTCTGATGATTAGTGACACTGAGCATTTCTTCATATGTGTCTTGTCCATTTGTATCTCCTGTTTGGAGAGGTGTCTATTTAGCTCCTCCGCCCATTTTTAATTGAGTTCTTTGTCTTCCTTTTGTTGAGTTTATAAGCACTCTATATATTTGGGAAACTAACCACTTATCTGATGTATCATTGGCAATTATGCTCTCCCATACACTGCCTTTCCATTTTGATGGTCATTCCTTTGCTGTGCAGAAGCTTTTGAATTTCATGTAGTCTCATGTGTTCATTTTTTTCTTTGTTTCTGTTGCCTTAGGTGATGTATCAGTGAAAATTCTGCTGCATATTGTGTCTGAAATTTTGTTGCTTACAACAAAATTTTTATGAATTCATAAGTCACATTAAAGTCACATTAAAGTCTTTTATTCATTTTGAGTTTATTCTTGTGTATAGTGTAAGTTGATGGTCTAGTTTCTTTTTTATTTTATTTTTTGCATGTAGCTGTCCAATTTCCCAACACCATTTATTAAAGAGGCTGTCTTTACTCCATTGTATACTCTTGCCATCTTTGTCAAATATTAATTGAGCATAATGTTTTGGGTCTATTTCTGGGTTCTCTGTTCTATTCTATTGATCTATGTGCCTATTCCTGTGTCAGTACTAGGCTGTTTTGATTACAGTAGCTTTGTACTATAACCTGATATCGGGTATTGTGATCCCGCCTACTTTATCCTTCTTTTTCAAGGTTGCTGTGGCTATTCAGGGTTCTTTTTTGTTCCATATAAACTTTTGAAGTATTTGTTCTAGTTCTGTGAAGTATGTCGTTGGTATTTTGATGGGAATTGCATTGAATCTATAGATTTCTTTGGGTAATATGGCCATTTTAATGATATTAATTCTTCCAATCCATGAACAAGGTATGTGCTTCTACTTTTTTATATCTTCTTCTATTTCTTTTTTTCAATGTCCTGTAGTTTTCTGCAAATAGGTCCTTTACTTCTTTGGTTAAATTTATTCCTACATATCTTAATTGTTTTGCCATGATGGTAAATGGGATAGTTTATTTTTTTAGTTATTTTTT